CCTCGTGACTGATTTATACACACGCGTTAACGTAAATAATTTTAATTATTTCTAGTTGTCATACACAAATTCATCCGTGCGGGTAAAAAAAATAGTAGTCTTTGTGTTCTTCCAGATTGTATTCTACATGTCTTACTTTCTTACTAATATTATAAATGCGAAAGTTTAGATGGATGGATGGATGTTTGTTAGCGTTTGTAGCCTAAACGGATGAACGGATCTCCATGAAATTTGGCACAGGTTTAGAACATAGTCTGGAAGAACACATAGGTCATTTTATATCCCTGGAATAGTTACGATTCCCGTGGGATTCATTAATTTAGTTTTTTTAATGTTTACTCGATCATTCTGCAACGGTTCAACATATCTTATTGAAATTTGGCACAAATATAAAACAAAATATGGAGTACACATGGGATAAGCTTCATCCCCGAGAAATGTCCGGTTCCCGAGGGATACGTACCTTTTGGAAATTTATATAGTTTGTATGTTTTCTAATACCACGCGTACGAAGTCGCGGGCAACAGCTCGTATGCTATAGTAACGAACATCCTTACCTCTAAACTTTCTCAGTTATAGCATTAGTAACATTTTATACGTAAGAATAATATCACTAATAATGGATGATTAGAGCGCGCACACCTTTGATTAAACTGTTTAGTTGCACAATTAAAAATCGAGTAGTGTGCGCACCTCTATTTTAGCTCGTATAAATCGCAACATTTATGCGACAATGTAGTCAAAGGTGTGTGCACGCTCTTATATAACTAGCTGTTCCCATGCGACTTCATCCGCATGAAATTTATGAAAATTTTATTTTATTGTTTACATTTGTCACACCTTGACAACCTTGCTCCTTTGATGTTGGCAGCAATTTATCATCCCATTAGGGTTTTTAACCAAAATATTTACCCCCTATGTTTAATGGCGTTAAAATATATAGCCTAAAGCGTGACGCAAGTGTAGGGTTTTTTATTAAAATAATAATATAATAGTATAGATAGATTCCTACTCCCGTTCATATACTAATAAACCTTTCATTTTTTTTCAGGCAATCGAATACCACACGTTAGAGCGTGTATCGGTGCAAGGGCAGCTTACAGTGTATGCTTTTGAAGCACTCCAACAAACCACCAACATAACAGACGAGTGCAGACATCAAATTAACACACTAGCTTGGTGTGTCGAAATGGTACCTTTTTAACAACGTTTAAGATAAACTCTAATTAATTTAATGATGAACCTAATTCTAAATAAGCATGAAGAATAAATAAATTCCCTTTATGTTGATTTTTTCGATTTCTTATTCTATTTTTTAACGTTTATATTTTAAATGTGTCAAACTGTACGTTTCTTCAAAATCATTCATGATATAATTTAATTAGATTTTTATTTACAGTTTCAGTCATACTATTTAATCATAGACGATATAGAAGATGAAGCAAAGACACGTAACGGCAAGCCGTGCTGGCATCTGCTACCCAACGTCGGCAATTTAGCTCTTAACGATACAAGTATGATGCGAAGCTTTATCTACGAATTGTTGAGACAAAACCTTAGTGACGAAATGTATATCAAAATGTGTAAACTATTTAACGAAGTATGTGTAATCGTGGAATTTATACATATAATATATCGCTTTCTTTTAAGTTATTTCAACGCGTACAAAAAATCCAAAAAATAAAATTCTTTATAATATTGATATAATATCTATAAAATGGATCTCTCTACAGGCTCACCTGAGATCAGAATATGGACAATACTTAGATTCAATAACTTCAAAAAGCAGAAACTTCTCAAAGTATGACTTGCAGCTGTACACTAAAATATCTGATAGTAAATTTACATTTTATTCTATCAAATTTCCGCTATTGGTTGCCCTCACAATGGCCAATAAGTTGAATAAAACTTCAATTCAAAATGTGGATAGTGCAATGAAACATATCGGATGTTGGGTGCAAATGCACGTAAGTGTACATTTTAATATCCTATAAATAAACTATTATAACCTAAAATAACTCTTACATGAAGACAGAAAATAGTTAGAAACACCGGACAACTTGAAAATTTTTATCTCTTCATTGATATCTTGCAACAATCGTGGCGGTTTTCAGTGAGGCCCAGTAATAGGCGTATTTATTTTAAACGAGATTTTCTGAGTTAAAGTACAGACTTTACTCATATTACACACACTGTTTACTGTTACCTCTTACATTACAGTTCATGAGATAACTAGGACTAAAGGCGTAGTAGAGAGAAGCAGGATTATTTAGTTTAAATAACCTCTAAATTTTAGTAGACAATAAGTATTTTTACTTACCTATATTAATAAATACTTTTTATAAACTCAAGTGTAATTCATATTTTAGAACGATATATTGGATTGGTGTGATGAACTATCGACTGGGAAAACGAATATAGATATTAAGAAAGGTAAGTGCTCGTGGTTGGCGGTAACAGCGTTAGAAAGATGCAATGCTGAGCAAAGGGATATGTTTCTAACACGGTACGGCAGTGATAAAATACAAGATGTAGAACAAATACTGCAATTGTACGAGACTCTTGGATTGCGAGATGTATTCTGTCAGGATCATCAAGCACGTTTAGATACGATCACCGAACAAATTGATAGCTTACCAAACGATTCTACACCTTCTTCGAGGATTTTACGTGATTATATTGAGAAAATTTATCCATTTGTTGTTTATTTACCAGAAGCTTTAGAATACAGCAAGCAAAAAATACAATAATATGGTACAAGAAAGGTGATTTTTGTGGTTAATGTGACTTTAATACATTTTTTCAAGTTTTTACATTCTTTTTTTATTTATCACAATGGATATGAGCAAATCTTTTCTGTAAGCGTCAAAGAATAAGGGTAATAAAAAAGCACGTCACCAGCTGATGGATAACTTTAAAGAAAATATCATATTGGTTAAATTCGTACTATTTTTCCTATCTTTTTATTACTTTTTGTAGTCTCAAGAGGAGGGAGAGAAGCAGCAGGCCCCTCTACCCCCTAATCCCTTAGTGACGATCTTGGTATAGATCACAAGATGTCTTTTCCATTTAGGAAACAGTATATTATATACTTGTATTAATCTTATAATTTCAAACAAGTAGTCTTTAGCTATAGCCAGGTTTAGAAATAAAAATGCCGTCAATCTTAACCAAAATTTATGTTCTGTAAGAGAGCCTTTACCTTTTCTATTAAAATCGTCCTTTAAACAATTATTTGATGTTGCATTGATTACTGTTGATGCGTTAAATTAGCTTGTTGATAAACACCTTAAATCTAGTCTACTTGAGGACTACTCCCACATAACTTTTTAATAGCAATATACCTAGTAATCTAATTCTTGCAATATAACAGTTCAACAATATCATTCGTGCATATATTTTTGTAAATTTTCAGTATAACCACGGAAATTTTTAAATATCTCTAAGAAAAATTCGATAGATGGCGTTGAATCTTTTGGTAGATTGTGGACTTTCCGTAGAAAATTGTCATAACGAGCTTGTTCTTCCTTGCGGTAAACTTCGGTTAACGATAGTTCGTCGTATATCTTTCTTATTTGCTGAACGTCTTTCGGGTCCCAACTTCCGTAGCATTTATTGAAGATTTTCCTTTGCTCGGGATTGCATAACTTTAGAGCGGCAACAGCTGGCCAAGAACATTTGCCATTCTGAATGTCATGCCCTGATTTACTCGCTACTGATTCGTCAACGTCCAAGTAATCGATTAAATCGTTCTGAAAACATCAAAATTATTATTTAGCTGTTAAAATACATCTTACTTCTCACTAATGTTATAAATGCAAAAGTTTAGATGGATGGATGTAGTTTGTAGCTTAAACGGTTGAACAGATCTTGATGAAGTTTGGCATAGATGTATAGGATAGCCTGGAAGAACACTTAGGTTACCTAGTTTTTTTTTTTCAAATTTTACGCGGACAGAATCGTGGTCGTAAGTTAGTTTTTAATAAAATTGGATCAACTTTTGAATGTAAAACTCAGTAATAGAGTTATATGTATTCTTAAACCTCCATAACTCTATTAATAAAAGTCACGTCTACTACAATAAATTCTAGTTCAGTAAAGACATTTATTAACAATCAATTAGAACTTACGTGACTTTGTATCAGAATTCCTAGATCAGTGCCCAAATCGTCAACAATAGCAAAAGACTCGCTATTCAATTTGTTGCACAAAGCAAGCGCTAGAAGTATTGGTGATTTCACCGAATAGAATGAGGATTTATATTTATTCATCGCGTCAAAATTTTCTAACGTGTAATCATCATAGTTTCTAGCTTTAACAAACTGTGCATCGATCAGTTGTCCAATTTCTAATGTGTAGTAAATCTGAAAAAAAAAAACACAATGAAAAAATAACTATAGACAAGCATGTACAGTGAAGGCTCTTAGTGGTGTTCTGATTGCGGAAAAATTGCAACGTGACTAAACCCGCCTTCTTACAAATAACCAATTAGCAAAAGTGACTTGCAAAATTGAAGCGATAAGAAAAAAAAATAGCCGTCTACCACTGAACTATCTTTTTTCGTTTAAACACATTAAAAATCGGTCGTACTGGTTATTGTTCTGCATCATCGTGTCAATGCATACAAAAAGTTCAAACCACTCTAGGTTTGAACTAGGGTTGGAGGAGGTCATTTTAACGGAAGCGGATGCGGAGGACAATAATAAAATATTAATTACGATTTATTTAAAAAATAAAAACTAAAACTACGTTAAACCAAAATACAGATTGGTACATAATTACAAGATACAGTTTATTATGCAAATATAATGTATAAAACAATTATAGTTAGTTGACATATCACGCCCGCGCGGGCCGCATAAACGATACCTACTCGCCCCACTCGCGTTAATGACGTAAATTAACCTCCGTTATAACTCCGCATAAGAAAGGACGGAAGCGGATGCGGAGTTATCACTTCTTGCGGAAGTTACGCCCTTGCGGATGGGGAAGCGGAGTTCCGTTACAACCCTAGTTTGAACATCATCAGATTCACCAATAGTACCTAGACATGTTTGGTGTCCCTATCTATAAATAAATTAACATTCTCGCATACAATTTAATCTAGACAGAGACTAGTAATTATGTTTACCTCAATACAGATCACAAAAAAAAACATATTTTTTTAACTTTTTACTCACCGTGTCAAAAATATGCATAACTTGTGAAAATAATGGTTCAGGTACATTTTGTCTGACGACATCGGTTATGAAGCTTCTAAACAAACTGGCGTCGTTCACCGCGGTCATGCCTACGTCAGGAAGTAGATGCCAACATGGCTTGTTGCATCTGATCTTACCACCGTCCTGCATATCGTCTAGTATTATAAAATACGATTGAATCTGAAAACAAAATAAGGTTAAAAAAATACGTGTATATTATCTGATGTATTTTTTTAGATTTTTTTGTAAAATCAACGATATTTAAGACTTGCTGTTGCCCGCGACTTAGTTCCCGTGATATTGAAACATAATAAAAAACATGACCTATGTTACTCACTAACAACATAGTTTTTTAATGGCGAAAGTACTTTTGAAATTGGCTCATTAGTTTTTGAGTTATTCCAATTTATACAAAAATACAAATCTTTCCTCTTTATATTAAAATAATTAAATTGTTTAAACTTTCGTGAGACATTTTAAATATAATTATTTTACGGCTCTTACTCACGTCATACTTTTTTTCCGGTGACGGCACCAACCAGTTTTAGACCCTGCGGGGATCCTCCTTCAGGGCGAGGGTTAATGATGTTATATCGCGGTCGCGTCACGCCTCGCGAGACGACCACGAGGCGCCTAGTTCGAGTAAGTAAGAGCCGTAAAATAATTAGTTATATTAGAATAGATATAACGTGAAAGGTAACCACAAGCTTACCATTTCTAGAGCTGAGCCTATAACATACGCTTGATGTTGAAACTCCGCACTTTTATTAGTATTCTTCTCTAACATTTCATAGGAGATCAACATCAGTTCTGCCTCTACGGGTTTTTTCTCAAGAGTGTTGTATTCAGCTATCTAAAAAAAACAGCTTGTCAGTCGATCATTAATAACTTTGGAAGATATATGACATGTAATGATTGTATTGCACATTGGGAGTTATTTTCCCTATAAAGGATTAATGTAATAAGCCAAGGTGATTACGGTGCAAGGTAATATTCAAGGCAAGTAGGTCGATTTTGATTACATTATGAATATCTCCATCAGAATTCTGAGTATTCCATAGTAAGACAATATGAACATATATAGGTATTGGGTTTGTTAGTATTTAAAATCGAAAGAAATCACAAATGAGGGACAGGTTCTTGATACTAGAAACTTACGGTGACATTATGAAGTATATCTAGTTACAGGATGACCAGTTATTTTCTACTATACTCTTATCAACAACATAGAATCCTAGCCTATGGGCGCTGCAGTCGACTAGTTTCCCTTTTTAAATGTGGACAAAGATATTTAATACATACTAGCTTTCGCCCGCGAGTCCTTCCGCGTGGAATTAAAAAAAAACAAAAGTGAGTAGCTTATGTGTTCTTCCAGACTATCCTCTACATCTATACCAAATTTTATCGAGATCCATCCATCCATCCATCTAAACTTTCGCATTTATATTAGTAAGATTTTCTCGCAATATGAGTAAATTTTATATCTAGTTAATTGTTTTTATCTTTTTTCAAAGGTTCTCTTCTCATTTTGAGACTCACATTTTTTTGATAATATTTGCATATTAACGCTAATGGGAAACTAAAGAATGTATTGCTATTAATGACATGTAAGTACAACAAATAAGTATTTAGAAAATTTATTAAAAGTTCGTTTACCTTTTTGATACGATTTCTTACTGATACGTTTTCAATAATCTTTGTTTTTGATAAAGAAGCATCTAGCAATATTGGCAAAAATTTTGGAAAGTCATCAAAAAACTTTCGGGACAATAATTTTTCCCTTTGTAACACTTGATTTTGTGTTTTTGACCTGTAACAAGAAATTTGAACATAAATCAAATTGAAATGTATTCATTTTTATTATTCTTATATAAAATGTCTTTTTTCAATGAATATCTATGGCTGGTATACTTGCAAAAAAATCTGATTTCATTTAAATTGAATTACAGCATGACATGTTAGGGATCTCTAGCAGTAGAGCACTTGTATTTAAAATATTGACTTAACAATCGCATAATTATTGTGCGATTGTCGCTTGTTTGAAGCTAATCCAAGTGTTCAGTTGCACAACTAAAAATCAAGTAACTAGTCTGCGCACTTCCATTTAAGATCATAGGAATCAAAGCGCTACTAAACAGTTGTGCGATAGTTTAGTTTCCAGTGTGCGCGGGCTCTTAGTATGGCAGACTTGTTCGGATAATTCAACATTAATTCATATGCGTTATCATATTAAAATTTATTACTAGATAATTATGGGTAGTGGTAATTTTCCTCTGACACTTCTACTTTGATCTAAGACATGAAATCTTATAGAAAGGTGTTGCTGTAATTATAATTGTGCCTAAGCATTTAAAATAAAAAATACTCAATCAAGCAAACAAGTTATAAAACTAAGTCCATCAATACTAACTTAAAACATCACCTCAATTATACTAAATAACCACCGTTTAATTTGAATTAAGTTTTCAGCAATATGGATCACTTTTTTTTATTTTGATTTAGTTCTTTCGGTCCTTAGAGTTTAAGACAGACCAATTTTTTCGGAAACTAACAAAAATGCTACGTATGATTCCCGGCAGATGCATGCCGATTACCATTAGCCAAACATATACTCAACAAAACTTTGTTTCTTTTCATTTTAAATACAATGACTGTTTAACACGCTCACTGCATAACAGGTCGATATCGGCCTGACACGGTACTTAAGCTGGTGCGGACGAAGAAAACTATGTCCCTCTCGCTAGTGCGAAACGGTTCTCAGGTGTATACATAACATTACATAAAATGTATACATAATGTTTACATCCATCCTAGTACCGGCGGGTCTAGAAAGACCTGCCACGCACTGGCGGAAATATCATTGGGGGCGCATTTTGGCCCGCCGCCGCACCAGATGAAGAATTATGATTTTACTTGCCGCAAACGTGTTAAACAGATGAAACCATGAGACTAAGGCTTGTTAATAGGAGGAAATAACTTGCTACTTAATTTATATTCTACTTGGGGTTTATTTTATAAACTTCTAATCATTTTATCACACGTTCCTAATACGATTCGTTATCAACCCATTGTAACGTAAACAAAACATAAGATGGTTAGGTATATATATTTCGTAAATTAACTCTTATCGTTTTTTTTAGCATTGATTTGAGGGTTACATAGGTCAAGTGTGCAACTAGTTCGTTCCTTGTTCATGATTTTAAACAATTCCGACTAAGAAAATAATTTTAATGAAAAGATTAGAGGCGTTTACAGATTATTCGATGAAATACAAGTTAAATTTTAAAATAACATTGGTATTGTGCTATATTCCATTATTTTTTTCAGTTTCACATTTCAAATAACTAAAGTTTTGAAAAGTAGTCTTAGTATCCACGAAAAATACTTTGATTTTCGATTGCGATACACATATGTTATTTCGATGTATTTAATGCAGATAGTGTGTTTGAAGATGAAAATATACATGAAAAAGAAAACTGAAATGCAAAAAGAACTGTGCTAGACGCTACAGAAACCTAGTTATTAGCGGATGTTTTATTTCTCGTATTACCATAGAGATTAAAAAAATTAATAGAGGAGGCATAGTTAACATTTTACTTGAGACATTTTTCTCATGATTGTGTTTAAATTAATTGCCAATGTTGCTAAATTGTATTGTTAAAAGATAAAAAAAAAATGTCTAGAATTTTCACTTTTTTTAAAAAAAAAGTTTTCGTGATTCTTTAATTGTATTTTACTTTTAACTAGCTGTTGCTTGCGACTTCGCCTGCGTGACATTAAAAAATAGAAAAAAGATATCCTATGTTACTCACAAATAAATTACCTATCTAATGTTGAAAGAATTTTTGAAATCAGTCCAGTAGTTTTTACGTAAATCGAATACATACAAAAATACAAATCTTTCCTCTTTGTAATATTAGTACAGATTATTTCAACGAATACTCACCAAGTTGCACAAGTGCGAGAAAATCTTGAAAGCAATCTTAAAGGTAGCATTTTTAAATATGTTTTACTGATCCAGATTTATTGCTGTGTTTTTTCTTTGATAGTTGAAACAGTAATGAAGAAAATGTATCGTTGACTTGTTTTCATATACCGTATCTTAGGTTATGACATGTTTCCTCTGTCCATTAGTACATTAGAGATCCCAAATTGTTTTAAATTTTATATTGCTCACTCTAAATTAATAAAAATTACATTTTGCTACCTATTTTGCTACTTTGTTATAGTGTTGTAATTACTTCTTTAACTTATACCCTAAACAGATCAACAGTAGTGCAGCTCTATCGATCACTGACAAATCTCATACAAATTTTGATGATGTTACCTTAATATTCTTACTAACATTCCAGTTGCAAAACATAGCATTAATAATTATTGATCCACACTTATTAATCATGTTATTGACATTTCAAAAATGCAAGTGCAAACGTCTGCATTACAAACAAGCACTCTTCTCAGTTAAATCATAAAAAATGCACCGAAATAATTGTTACGGAACCACGCAGATAATCGATAAATCAAACATAACCTTCAAGAAATGTATAAATGATTGTCAATGATCGTACAGAGTTTGCCAGTGCATGTGTTACAAGAGAAAATATTGCTGTATTTAGAAAAAATCACTTTAATAAATTGTTTCTGATAATATTGTTAGGTACCTGTTGGCTGATTTATCGGTTTTGTGCAATTTTTCAATTTTCCCATGTAATTGTGTGATCCAATTAGCTGTTGTGTATGTTTGTTAGAGTTTGTAGCCTAAACGACTGAATGGATTTTGATGAAATTTGGTAAAGATGTAGAGGATAATATGGAAGAACACATAGGCCACTCATTAACTCCACATGTACGTAGCCGCGGGCGTAAGCTACTACGTAATAAAATAAAAAAAATAAACACTAAATAAAGATTTTATTTGACATGACACGTGCATGTCTCGTGATCATAACTTAGTATAGTACTACAAGCCTATCTGGGCCGGTAAGAGAGCTGCTCTCATTGATACTTCTGTCACAAATTATGTACATTATACATAGACTTTTTTTTTATAATTTATGCTGACAAACGAACAAGCGGCTACTTGAATCCACCGAAATGAAAAGCGACCGCTGCCCATAAACATCCGCAATTGCAGATGCGTTGCCTACCCTTATTGACGGCGGAGGAGACGCACATAAAGAGGACATTTCCCCTTCCTATGCGTCTGCTCCACCGTCAAATCCACTTATCCTTCCCTCTTAAGAAAAGGGTGGAAAGGGAAAGGGTCTAAATTAGGCCTCCGGCACCACACTCATCAAACGAAACGCGGAATTGCTTCCACTTCACGCCTGTTTTCTGTGTGGTCGTGGTATTGCACCGGGCGAGCCGACCCTGCAGTGCGAAGATGTTAAAGCGGGCTCTACCACTGTTGTTCTAGACTTAGGAAAGGGCATTCCAAAAACCATGACAAGACAATTACAGTGAGAGAAGGGTGTTTTGACACATTTTTAACATTAAGAAGGTGGCGCTAAAGAGGTATAAAAAGGAATTACTTATGCCCACCGGTTCAGATAACTTTATCGGTTTTACATTTTGACATATTTTGACGAGTCTACGAGCGATATCGGTAATCTAATGTAACTTTATCTATGGGGCAGGTTTATCAATTCAACGGTTTATCAAAATTAGTACAAAGTTCTCATTATAATAAAAAAATAAGCTCTGTTATTTCTAATCAACTTCACGTGTCTTAGATATTAGATGAATGTGACGTGAATAGTATTTTTACAATTTAATTTTTGATACGAATAATATAAGATGACTTGTAGAATAATTCTGCATGTGAACATTTCCCTTTACTGTTAATTTGACTATTTTTATGTACATATACTATAGAGTCTGTAGCAGTAAATTATATTAATTAAAAAAAGTCGCAAGCTTAAAGGACAACTGACTCATCCAAACTTAGGTCAAGATTGAGTTAGTATCAGATATAATCATTTAACGTCATAACAACACTTTATCATTACGGAATTATGCTCTTGCATTCTCCATCTTTTAATTGTTTAAAAAGCAAACTTTCTTACGATTCAATAAATCGAAAATTTTACGGACATCCATCCAAGGAAGGAAGACATCTTGTTGCAATTGCACATACAAATCTGCGTAGAAATGACAAAGATATGTGTGAAGACAACCCTCAATGGGCCAGCGCGGTTGACTATAGCTTAGTCATCCCTAGTTTAGTGTAGCTAGTAATAGACATATTTAAGTATACTTTATCTTTATTTTTTTAAGCAGCGTTCATTACAACAGTCGATTTTATTTTCGATGGCGATATGTCTTCAGTATATTGACGTACAAAATCAAAGATTTTATAAAAGAAATTGGCAGAGGGTGTCGCATCAACAGGTAATTCTTTTATCTTCTGTAACACTGCTTGGCTCATCTTCTGTTCTTCTAGATGATAAAGATGAGGTAAGTTTATTTCTTTATAAAATTGCCTTACACGTTCAACTTTCTCACTTTCCCAACGTCCATAGCAATTAATGAATTCCTTTCGTTGGTTTCCATTTAAATGTTTTAAAGCCGTCACCGCGGGCCAAGAACATTTATTCTTCTGTATATCAGAGCTGGTTTTAACTGATGCTGAGTCTCGGTCAATGTAATCCATTACATCATTCTGAAAAATAATGCAAATCGAAATCCTTTACCAAGTGCACATAACGACAATTCGGCTAACGGTTTTGACTTTTAAGAAACAGGACCTGTCAATCGTTCACACGTCCTTTTATTTTTCTCTCTCATTCTATACAGTAAGTTTTTATATTCAGTTCCCCCCAGTTCGAACGAGCGCATTTATAACGCGCGATAAAAAACGCCACGATTTAAAAGCGTTGTGGAATTAATGAACAGGTAGATAGATATGGAAATACATTTATTCTATTTAACGCTTTTTAATGCGCATTACAAAAGCCTATATAATTCAAATAAAAGAAAATCAAATTATAACAACTAATTTTACCTGCATTTGTAAAAGGATACCTAAATCCATACCAATTTTATCAACGTTCGAGTACGAGTCTTCGCTACTTTTGTTGCAAAGTTCCAATGCCAAGAGTATCGGTAATTTAACGGTGTAAAATGATGACTTGTAGTCGTTTAAAAAGTTATATTGTTCCACTGTAAATTTGTCTAAATCCCTTGATTTTGACATCATAATATCCATGTATTGACCGATATTTATAGTGAAGAACGCCTGAAATTTAATAATTGTTAATAAGAAACTTTGCGGCATCTGTGTATCAGGGGTTAAGGACTTGACATTTGATATTTGCACTTGATATTTGCAGGTCCTGGGTGTGAGCCCCGCAATACACCAATATGATTTTCGAATTTCATATGTACCCCATTGTTCTTACGGTGAAGGAAAACATCTTGTTGCAACCTGCACATATCTGCGAAGAAAGATATGGGTGAAACCCCAAAACTCGCAGTGGGTCACTTTGGTTTTACTGTGATGCTTTAAGCTTACACCGTGTAATTCCTTGGGACTCCGTGTGGGATAACCCATAATGGGATATAATGGCGTAGATATCCCTAACTTAAGATAGGTTTCGAGCCCTATAGTGGAGACTTATGGTGACCTGATAATAATAAAATGAATAGACAACAAATAATATAAAAAGGCGGGGTTATTGGTAAAGTCACATTATAAGCAAAATTTTTACTCGATTACCTGAGGAGGATAATGTTTTTCACATGAAAACATGTTTTATGCATGTCAGTTTGGATGTATGTCAATACCATCGCGACCTCCATAAGCCCAAACGTGAGATGTTTGATGGCCTTCTTCCGGAGTGTCGCTTCCTGCCCTCTTAAGCAAAGTATGAGACCAAGCGATATCGCTAGTAGAATAAATAAATATGTCAAAACGTATGAGAATAAATACGTTGCAAGCACGTGACTTATTAAATGTAATAATCAATTCCATACAATTTCGACTTTTCGAATAGCGATATCGCTTGTTAAATGTTACCTACTTTATATAGATGGGTAGGGCTATTTGTTTTTAAACACTTAATGAAAAGTATTCCTGTTGTCAATTGATTTCAAAAATATCAACATGTATGTAACAACCGTAAAGAGTACCTCGTTGATACAATTTTCCATCTTCGTTGATGTGTTCTGATCAAAGTTGTTTTTCAACATTTCGTAAATAAAACTACGCAGCATGCTGGCGTCGTTTATTGCTAACAGACCAACATTTGGCAATGAATGCCACGTCGGTTTGCCGCAACGAGTCTGACAATTGTCTTCCATGTCATCGCCTATAATGAAATATGATTGTACCTGAAACAAATGTTTAAATGCAGAAAAATAAGAATCACATAATCAAAAGCTATGGATAGAATGGCTACAAAAATAGAAGACAGAAGAATACTGAAGACGGTGCAATGGATAGATTGTCTGAAACAGGATATGCGTAAGTAAGGAAGGAAACAATATTCGCGATCCGCTGCCCGTTTATAATTGATTTGTCTTCACATTTCGAATGAATATAGTACAGTACTTTGTTACTATAATTAACTAACGCTATGTTTAACCCTGTATGTGAATTTTCTCGACCTAATTGCATTTGGGGCGTCAAATTATATTTACAGAAACGGGTAGCGTCTTTAACTGGACGGGTAAATATTTCTGCTAAGGCCACCCTATGTTATATTGTCCCACTTCACATTATCTTTGAAAAACAGAGTTAATAATTTATTTTTATTCTAATGTTATAATGAAGTAGGTAACTTAGTCTTATTTACATATTACTTAATTGCTGCTTAACGATGCGCTCTAGCGTAATTGAGTTTTCTAGTAGGTGATTAATTTAATTTCAAATCAACGCTTACTTAAACTTTGTTTAACATAATGACGGATTGTGCAATATCTCGTTTTCTTAAATTCTTAATTTATAGAGGTCTTTTTATATTACATGATGGCAAACGAGCAAGCGGCCACCTGAATCCGCTAAATGGCGAAGCGACCGCTGCCCATAAACATTCGCAATTGCAGATATGTTGCCTACTTTTAATCGACGAAGGAGGAGACATACAAAGAGAATAATTCTCCTTCCGATGCGTCTCCTCCATAGTCAAATCTTTCCCTTCCCATCCATTCCTTATAAGGAAAGGATGAGAAGAGAAAGGGGCTTTAATAAGGCAAATTATTTATACAATTCGAAATAATTATAATAAATTTATCAACGAACGTGTAGAAGGAAAGTTCTAAAGATCATATGTCTTACCAATTCAACAGCCCAGGCTAAAACTTGCACTTGATGTAATTTTTCCTCAGTCAAATCTTTTTGTTCCGCAAGCGCGTCGAACGCAAGGAATGTTAGTTTACCCTGTATCGTATCCCTGGCATGAGTATGATATTCAGATAGCTGAAATAAATAATATTTTTACTTTAAATGCACTTCATGTTACCGTGTTACATTGCTGTAATAATTTTTTATGTCTCTATACTAATGTGATAAATCGTTAACACACACGATTTAGTTATGCAGGATGTCAACAACCACGGTATGTTTTTGAATAATTATTTCGCTATTAAACTTAGAAAGTAAGAAAATTGGAAAAAAACATCATTCGAGAAAGGGTCTAAAATTACAGGCCGAAAGCATTAAGGGAGCAAGGCTATTATGGTAACCGTAATTTTGACATCTGCAATTGACACAAGTAAACAATAAAATAATTTTTACAATTTCACGCGAAGAAAGCCGCACGGGAACAGTAGTTGTTACAAGATGACGATTAAGCAAGAGGCCTCTTAGGTTTCCCATAAAAGCAAAACGACCACTCCCCTAGATATTCGTAGTTGCAGAAGCGTTCTCCACCTTAAATCGACTAGGAAAAGGCACAAGAAGATGATGATTTCCCATTCGATATGTTTCCTTATCGCGATTGTACCAAGTCGACTTCCTCATTCATACAAAAGAGGTTATTGCGGTCTGTTTAAATTTAACTTAATTAATATTCGTCTGTACTCGGATTACAATTTCAACTACTCTATATTTCGTATTAAATACATTGCGTATTCAACATAAAAAAACTAATTTATTACCAAAATCCTCGGGCCTCTTATTTCGTTTTTTTTTGTCTCATTTCTATTAAAGGGTTACACGTAAAAATACAATCATTAAACATGTGAGTTTTTGTTTCTTTTCCGCTTTTAAGTACTAGTTTTCGCCCGTGACTTCAACCGCATGGAATTAAAAAAAAAACGTATATAGCCTATGTGTTTTTTCTGACTATACTCTACATCTGTGACAAATTTTATCGAGATCCGTTCAGGCGTTTTTAAATCTAACAAACATCCTTCCATCTAAACTTTCTCATTTATATTGAGTTGTTTGAACACAATAATAAAAACAATTACTTACATTCTTAATCCGTTCCGTTATCTCTATATTTTCTGCGTATTTCTTCTTGGTTAGGGAAGTTTTAATAATTTTTGGTAGATAACATGGAAATTCGTTATTAAGGTTGGTTAAAATCTCAGACTGTTTGCATATACCACTGGCACTGAAAAATGTTTCATAATTTAACATGAATCCTCATTTAAAGTTAATTAACATAAATAAATATTAATAACAATAATTAAATTCACACTAATTAATTTAAGTAGTACTTAAGAATTCTATGACAATATTAAATTTGTAATTCTTTTCAGATTAAAAAAACTAATTTAGATCAAATATTATTTAAAACGTTAATTAAAAAGTCCATTTGAGAAAATTAAATTGAGATAATTTACAAAAAAACTGTTTGAAAAACAATTATAACGCTGTAACTTTCATATTTAGAAAAATCTACTTACGAAGCGCTGTACTTTCTACAATGTTTGACAATTTTGTTAAACAACATTGTTCTGTTTAATTAATAAATTAACAATAAAACTAATACACCAACTTCAAATACACAATAGCAAATAAAAATATCGCTTGAAACTTCCTTTTATATGAAACTAGTTTCCCAAGTTGTAGTCATTACTTAAGCATTTACGAATACGTCTTAAGTATTATAAAAAAAAGTTTTTGTAACAGTTTCACGAAACAGCGGCAAACAAAAAAGTTTATTCATCCCTATCAGTGAGAATTAAACATATTGTGTACTCTTTATAACGAACCTAATACACCATTGAACTCCATAAAACGTCGAAAATACTTGGCATTTGGTTCGTTTACCTTATTTTCCATAAATTTTAAATGTTTAATTTGTGTAATATCAAATCAGTTGTATACATTTTTTATATGCCGTTTTATTGTTTTATTATCTAGCACGTGTTTTCGACTGATGTCGCGTGGATTCTAAGTAATTTTGGCTTTCAAATATAATAATATTTCACCTCTCTTCATATAACGTTCACTCTTTATAACGTCGCAAAAAGATTTGTACTCGAGTGATTTTACAGAGTTCACCCTTACGCTTTATGTAACATTTTTTATTAGAACTAAAGTTAACAAATTTGCAAATCAATTTAAAAAAAAATATATTAGATATATGTAAAACATGTGTGTTCTTTTCTTAGATGGGTATACCTAATTATAAAAAAAAAACATTGAATTTGAGATTCGTTAACACCCGCGTATATAAAAATCCCGTAATTGTTATGCACAAATTTAAGAATGATAACATAAAATAACATTACTTGCAATCTAATTTAAAAAATAAACAATTATTCGAACGCGATATTTTCCTTTCTTTGTATTTTATAATGAACATCTTTGGTTATTAAAAAAAAATGTTCCGTGCTCTCGAGTTGAAGAGTTTCTTTTACTTTTTGTCGTTCATTGGCACATTTTCTACTACAATATTTACTTTTCTAATTGCTATCATCATACTTACTATAATTGATTTATAAAAACTCTAATGTTGTTTTTCTTTGATTTTAAACAATAACACAAATGTTATTCTTTTTTTATATGAGAAGGGGGCAAACAAGCGGCGGGAACACAAAGGTGGTCAACGACGCCCATGGACATCCGCAACACCAGAGAAACTACAGATGCGTTGCCGGCCTTTGAGAAAATTGTAGTCTCGCTTCTTGAAGGACCCTAAGTCGTAATGGTTTGGAATCATTGCAATCTTAGTTCAAAATTCGGAGTTTTTATTTACAAGCTTTTGCCCTCGACTTCGTTATTCTAACTTTTTTGTAGTCTAATAACTCTAGCATAGCCATGAGTTGTATTAATTAGTTGTTATATTGTTTGGATGTTTACAAGATGTTCAATAATAATAGCACATTTATTTCACACTAAGTTTCGCCGCGACTCCGTCCGCGTGAGTAGCCTATGTTGTTCCAGACTATCCTCTATATCAATGCAAGACGTTACGTGAAAACCTCAATGTGGAAAGTCAACCATAGTAGTAGCGTTGGTATTTGGCATTCTATCGACTAGTGCTTTACTAAATATGAATAATTGTTATATTAAATGTGTATTATCTCATTCATTATTGTTAACAAAAAAATCTTTAATTTATAATTCAATGTCAGATGTTTCGATGACATAAAAACTATATGTGATTTTACATAGTATCAATGTAAATAGGCGTACATATTTATGTAAAAGGATTACAATATTCCAGTAGACAAAGAAACACATTAAGACGTTTAATTTCATGTTAACTATGATACCTTTTTTATCTAACTATCGTGTGAACGAAGCACGATTTTTAGCACAATGCAATATGACTTAGATAGTGCTAACGTTAATAAACGACTCAGTGCGTAGTCTTGAATATTTGTTAGTATTCTATTTTTTATTGATAGCTAAAAATAACTATTAACTATTTTGATGTATTTTTTTATAACAAACGATTAATTAACTTCGATATAACATTATTTAAAACAAATAAGAGATATGACTATGTTTTAACATTATAATTTATATTTTTAACTTTGTTTATTTCATTAACTAACTTCATAAAAAAATGTCCGGGTGGTATAGAATTTTCTGGCAGAGTATTAATTTTCTGACAAATAGATTTATATAATTTTGTTTCTTCATAACTACAGATATCTTGTAATTGTAATTCATTGTATAGTGTTCTTATTTGATCCACGCATTTCTCTTCCCATCTACCGTAGTTTTCAAGGAATGTTTTCTTTTGTGATTCGTTGGAGAGTTTCAGTGCTGTCAATGCGAGCAAGGTATATTTGCCCTCTTGGATGTCGGTGCCACTCTTTCCTCCCGATATCTCGTCAGGGTATAAATCTAAAAGGTCATTCTGCAAGAAACATTAAAACTATAATCGATTCCATACTGAGAGCTTTGAGCATTTGTAAAAAGGATCAATTTTTTTGTTCTTTTTTCTTTGGGTTTCAAAGAGGTTGAATTGAAAACTGGCTGGTTAGAAGAATACTTTAAATGTGACATGCATTTTATTTTCAGTCTGTTGTTCGAAACGATGAGAGAAAAATGTTTTGTTCAATAAAAGTAATGTCTTATTTTATACATGTTGTAATTTCATAATGAACATTGTTTATTTCAATTCATTTGTGTGTTGGCTTAGCAAATCGTATCAGCACTAAATACAATATACAATAAGATACAAATTGACTTGATTTCCGTCGATTAAAGGAGGGCAAATAATATTGATAATTATTTATTTTATTATACTAAAACGATGTCGTCTGGGTCGCAGTCGTTTTGCTACGAATAAGCGGCAACTTACATGAATTTTGTTTTTTTTTTCATTTTAATTTATGTTTATCGTCCGTGACATTAAAGCATAAATGTATTTTTTCAATGAGAACTCAATATTTCTAATCATGTTGAAGTAAAAAAAAAAGGTTATTGTTCTTTTAATTTGTAAGTGCGTAGTGTGAGTATTTCGTATTCATTTAATCGGATTGTTTGTTTTTATATGTTCGATGCATCAATACTAAACATAATACTTATGTCACACAGACAAAACACAAAATCGCACCCACTTAACGCGTGTTTTCTGTGTGGACGTAGTATTCTAACCAGCCGTACAGTGAGATGTTAAAGCTGGCTCTACTATTAAAATCTGCTATTCTATTTTTGCCTTACCTTCATTTGAAACAGTAATCCGACGTCAGAGCCAATAGATTCGACGAGCTTGTACGCATTATCACTATAATTGCCGGTCAAAGCAAGTCCACATAGAATTGGAAACTGGAAGGTGTAGAACGAAGTCTTGTACTGAGAGGTCATGATATATTTCTCCCTCGTAAGACTCAAGTATTCTTTGTTCTTACATAACGTTGAATCGATAAATTGTCCAATATGAGTCTTGAAGTAGGCCTAGAAATTAAAGAAATTATTACTTTAAAGTATAATATAAAGAATAGTTTAACAAGGTATTAAACATATTAATGTTTAAAACAATTCTTTCTGACCAACGATTGAAAAAAATCTAGGAACTAATTATTTTACGGCTATTACTCACGTCTATTTTTTTCGGTGACGGCACTGACCAATTTCAGACCCTGCGGAGGTCTTTTTTCAGGGCGAGCGTTAGGTAAGGTTAAAGCTACGTGAGTAATAGCCATAATATAATCATACTAATGTTATAAATGCGAAAGTTTAGATGGATGGATGGATGTTTGTTCTAGTTTGAAGCCTAAACTACAGAACGGATTTCTATGAAATTTAGTATACATGCAGAGGAGGATAATCTAGATGAACACATAGGCTACTCTCATTTGTATTTTTTAATTTTACGCGGACGGAGTCGCGGGCGTAAGTTAGTTATAAATTGTCTTACGAAAGTATATATAATTTTAATTCTAGTAGTGTGTTTTTATATTTCTATGATGAGATATATTGAAGCGTGTAATGTAACTATTGAGAGCGTGAGCACATCTGAAACTAAACTATCGCACAACTGTTTAGTCTCGCTCTGATTCCTGTGAGCTTACATGGAGGTGCGCACACTACTCGATTTTTAGTTGTGTAACTAAACAGTTGAATTGGCTGAAAAACAATCGACAATCGCACAACAGTTGTGCGACAGTTTACTTTCATTTGTACGCAAGCTCTTAATTTTACATTACGAAGTAATTAAAAAATACATCAGATTAAAAAACAAGTTCATAAAATATAATAACCTCATTAAAGATGTCTACAATTTTAGGATATACGGGATCTTTCCCAAAGTATATCCTTAGTATTTCGTATACGAAGCTGCGGAACATTCCGGTGTCGGTGACCGCGTATTTACCCACGTCGGTCAACAGATGCCAGCACGTCTGCCCATGGCGGGTCTTAGCACCGTCTTCCATATCGTCAGTTACCAAAAAGAAGGCATGCAACTAAAAATATTTAAAAACATTGTGTTTTATAGAATCATTGGAGCTTTCTCATAAACTACTTATGATTGTGTTTCAGAAGATAGTGCCTTCATTTATCTACCATTTACATATAATTAAATTGTAGTGTCTATTAGTAATATCAAAAGAAAAATTCAAGATTTCGGGAAGATGATGTATTTGTGTTGCTGATAACGAAAATAGCAAGCCGAGTTTGTTCTGGGTAATCTCCGAAACGGCTGAGCCGATACCGACCGGACTTTCACTGAAGGGTAGCTGACATAGAGAGACATATTAAAGGCTACTTTTTTATCTTAATATTGAAGTCGCGGGCAACAGCTAGTCTATTATATAAAGTGTATAAACAAACAATGTATCTGGTCCACAGATTACAGATATGTTGATCTGATTCAGTGAGAGCTGCTGCTACCACTGTTAGTGTAGAAAATATGTAAAATCCTGTACATAAAAGTAAACAATCTGCATAAATTATTAAAACTTCAATAAGAAAAGGATCTTATAACCCTTTTTACGTTGACAAAGGAGATTGTGAGGAGTTAAATTTGGTTTGACTTCGACCATATCAGATATCCGAATCGATCCATAGCTTAGTTTGACTTATGACCACCAGTTACATACTGGCCAGTTATACATTGGCATAGTGCAAGCATATTTTTTTTATTTTATAGCATATAAACAAAATAAGGTAAAAGGTCCTTACCATTTCAACAGTCCAAGCTAAAACGAACATCTTTTCGCGTAATTCTTGTTGCTGTTCCGGCTGCATAAGTGATTCGGAAGCTGCCATTGTCAATAGACCTCGAATTAGTTTCCCCGAACCCACATTATAAGCTGTAAACTAAATGCAATAATATCGTATACATAATTAAATAAACTATGCTAACTTTTTTCGTGCTAAAACAGTTCGCAGTTTTTGCAAATAAATTACATTGACAACTTGGCGTTGATTAAGAACTGAAACTAAATCAACGAAGTAAAGAAGTCTCTAGCAAGTTGTTTTTAAGAGCGGGCGCCTTTGCCTTAACTATCGCACAACTGTTGTGCGACTGTCGATTGTTTCGCAGCAAATTCAACTGTTTAGTTGCACAAGTAAGTCGAGTAGTGTGCGCACCTCCATATAAACTAATAGGAATCAAAGCGAGACTAAACAGTCGTGCGATAGTTTAGTTAAACGTGTGCGCACTATAAGGATTTCGCGCCATACTGTATGGTAGTTTCAAGATATTCATCATCATCTTTCCCCTTGTCCTACTCCCGTAAGGTCGGCGCAACAGGTTTTTATCCTCCACATATCGTCATCATTTCCTTTTTGATCATGTCACCTTACACGCAATCCATCCATATTTTTCTAGGTCATGCATGATATTAAAAAACGATAATACAATATTATATTACCTTTCTTAGTCTCTCACATAATGCCGGACTAAAGCTGAAGTCAGACAGACCCTTGTCTATAATAACCGGCAAAGATTGCTGATATTCAGTATAGGTCTGTCGAGACACCCATGTTTGCGTCCGTTGTATTTGCCGTTGAGCTATACTCCTAAAAAAACATTTTTTACAATTAAATATTCAATTTCTGAATTAACTATATTATGCTTTTTTTTATATTTTTCTATAGATAGATGTGTTGGCTTTTGATTTGTTTAAAAATATGAATTAACTTTTTAAAACAATGGACAAACGGCAGTATCACATAACACAAAGATTTAGCATAAATAGTTGTAAAATTGCGTATTGCCAATAAATACTAGTTTCAGATTTTACGGTAAAATATTTTATAAGATGTTATTAACTTACCAACTGCTAAAATATCTCGTCAACCCCAAAGACAACTTAGAAATCGCCATTTTGCTTTGTAAAATGTTATCTCTTGGTAAAATAATACGCTGGGATTCAAATTATCTGTAAAGTGCTTATATTGCCGAAATGTTTACCCCCTCCTTTTTACCGAATAACTTAATTGCCATTAAAATTAAAAAAACATTGATTGATAATGACTGATAAGAAATGTAAATAAGCTAATTTGTTAATAGAGTACCAGGTAAAAATACGTGTTAGAAGTAATTTAGTTTCTAGTTATTTACTAGAAACTAGTATATAAGCAAGTAATTAGTTTTACAGTTAATTAATTAAAATATCTATACTTCTATACTATTATAATAAAGCGTAAACAGACACTTCTTTGTTGCCTAAGATGTCAGCAATTACAGCATATTTTTGAATAATTCCTTTTTTAATACAAAGCCCTACACTTACGTCACGCTTTAGGCTATATATTTTCACGCCATTAAACTTAGGGGTAAATATTTTGGATAAAAACCCCAATGTGGGAAAGAGACCATAAGTTGCTGCCGACATCAAGGAAGCAAGGTTGCCATGCTTTGTGATGCCAACATGATGATGTCATGTCATTTTGACATTTGCAATTGATAATTTGACACATGTAAATAATAAAATAACATTTTCAAAATTTTATGCGGATGAAGTCGCACGGGAACAGCTAGTTTCTGATAAAACACTCGAGATATTAGAAAAAAATCGTAGGTAGAAATCAATAGATATTGTTTATTTAAACTAGTGTTTTAACTCTGATGTTCATTGATGTATGTGGTATTTGTAGTTCGCTGGTCTCACGGCAAGAAAAGCGTTAAGCGTTTAAGCTTAAATATACTTTAAACACTACGTAATTGTTTACGTAACTTAATTGATTTCCCCTTTGGGCAGGACAGGTGTCATACTAGGATGGCGCCCTGTGTGATGTGTGTGATATTTACGGTTAAGCTCGCAGTCTCGCATACCTCTAACTATCGTTACCTCACAATTTCATATCGCACAATCTCAAAAATTAACATTTTAATTAAAAAAAAACAAGATCGACTTCCAAACAAAATACACTAAAAACAATGCACTAAAAAGTTACGAAATAAATCCTTGAATATGTAAACCTACCTTATTGTAGCTGTTATGTCTATATTGTACAATTATTATTACTTTGATATCGGTGTCAATTTATTAATAAATAATCCCAAGTAGGGTTGGCGACAGGCAGGCGGCCGGCCGCAAAAAATAGTGCCGAATCTAAAGGTTTTTGAGGACAAAAACCTGTTGCGCCGACCTTACGGGAGTAGAATAAGGAGATGATGATGATGATCGGTGACAGTTTATATCATGAAAGCGATGCTTCCAGTTGCACAAAACGTGTTACAACTAAGGTTTTAGTTGCAGTTTTAAATGAATAGATAATAAAACGACTATCAGGAAAAACATTTTTAAGTCAGTTACTTTTTTAACAATTTTATTTTGATTTCAAAACTAAACATAGTATAGTGGTACATGATTCTATTGGCAGCCGGCAATTTTTAAAAATAAAAATGACAATTGAATGTCAGGGTATAAGTGACATAGCTTGTCAGTTAACTTCGCGTCGATACTTTCAGCATTTCGTGTGGTTTTTTAATGTTGTTCCATGACAAAAAGTAAAGAAAACGCTTAAAAGTAGTATCACACAGGTTTTTTTTTAAAGTAGGAGATCTTTTTGTCGCGGAGAAGAAGTAAGAATTACAGTAATTGTAGTACAGTAAATACATTTGAATACTGGACCTTCTTACTTCTTCTCCGCGACAAAAATATCTCCCACTTCAAATTGCAGTGACCGAATCCTTAGTTGTAACGTGTTTTGTGCAACTGGAAGTAGGTATTTCCTTCATGACATAAAATAAACAAGGATTTTAGTTTTTAACATGCTTATTTACTTACGTAATAAAGAAATTACTGTGTGTACTCAGAAATATAATAAGAAACTGGCTGTCTGATGATTTTAGACCGCATCGTTTCGTTCGAACCACAGGGCATACCACATAGTTTGTCCCCATATTATACTATTTCCCAGACATTCAATTGACACTTTTATTTTCACAAAAATACCGGGTACCAAAAGACCTACGTAACCCTATATGAAAATAACTCTCACGCCAATAGAAACTCGCAGATAGTTATTATTCAAGAGAGTAATTTATTTGCTCCCACTAAGTGGGTTTTAGTTTTTGTTCTAAGAGCACAGTTTTTTTTCTGTACGTTTTTGAATTTAAATCGAAACATACAAATTACATCTATTCTATTAAAAGTAACCATGGAACAATCGTTTTTACAATATAAACAAACGCTCACTGGGGGTACCTAGCACGAAAACATACGAAAAAGTTATTTTCGTTGAAACAGCGGTAAAAAGCAACGGCTGCCCAACTCTTCTCCAACAAGTTGTCGATGCGTGAATGGGCAGATAAGAGCCCGTACAGAAAGAGTATCCCATGAAAAATATAAAATGTAAAAATGCAGTCTCGCTTTCCCTACAAAAATGTATAAGATGCCATATAAGCCTAGTCATTTTAGTGTCTATTATGAAGCCCTGGCAATTACAAGGCACCATTATTTTCAAAGAAGACAACTTGCTATTAATCCCATTTCTATCCCCATCCTTAGATTGACTTTTGCTTACCAAGATCTCGGGAATAACGTATTTTAATTTGAAAATTAATGGCGCCGTGTACCTAATTAAGTTATTTTGGCAATATAATGAATTCCGGTATATCTATTGGTGTTCAAATTTTTCAACTTCTATCTTTATCCACAACGAAGTTGTCAAAAGTGCCCCGAAGCGCTTCGAGAAAAGTGTTTGGCGGTGCTCGCCTCGGTGGGTGCACCGCCCGCACCCAAATTTGACCTTCCTCCGTCGAGTACTATCCTTCTCAACCTTTATAACAAGAGGGTAGAAAGGGAAAGTGAAGTAGAATTTGAAAAGTTCTTGCTTCTATGATTCAATTTTATTAATGTATCGCGAAAAATAGAGGTCGCAAGCTGTGAAAAAGATTTAAATTACCACTATAACTTCGAATATTGTGTAATTTGTTATAGAAAAATGGAAAATCATACTAATCAGCCATAATTTGCTAATTTTAGAATCCAGTAAACATTTTTGCAACTCACATTTTACGAGTATATTACCAAAATAAAATTCTGCCTGTAAACGCCTACTACATTAAATTAGCAATAATACTTATGTATAATTAAACTTATACTTAAAATATAACATACGAAACACTTTCTATACTATACAGGATGTCCGGGAAAGACGTGTACAATGGACAACCATGGATTTCTTGGTCGAAAATATGACGATTTGATCCACCTTCCCGCTAAACAAAGTTGTTTCGTTTGGGCGCTAGAGGGCTCTAAAGTTTGCTAATTATTTTACATTCATTCAAATATCTCGAAAATCCTAAAATTTTAGTCGTATTGGTACCATGGTTTTTATTTGATAAACTAAACCTTTTTGTGGCACAAGGCGTTGTCATAAAATCATCAGAGGGCTTAAAAACTCGAATATCAAAGCAGTTTTTAATCTCATTTTTGACCGACTTCCCAAAAGAAGGAGGTACTCAATTCGTCTGTATGTTTTTTT